TGACACGCGGTCGGTGGTCGGTGAGCAGTTGCATTGTGTATCGCCTGCTTTGTATATTCTGTTATTGTTGTTGTCCTCACTGTTACTATTACTGTTCTATTTTGTTTTATTTCAATTATTAAACTGTTTTATCTCAACCCGGGGGTTTTCTTCCTTGTGCTCTCCCGATTCTCTCCCCCATCCCACCGGAGGGGGGGGTGTGAGTGAGCGGCTGCGTGGGGTTAAACCACGACAGATATCTATAGTATATTTTATTCAGCTAGTATTATTTCTGTAGGTATTTCTCATACATATGTATTCTACCTTACTGTTCTTTAATAGGAGTACCTGAAACAATTGCAGAAAATTCGGGAAGAATACCACAACGATATGAAAGAATTCAGATTTAGAGCAGGAGTACTCCAGGTAACAAAGCTCAAACATGCACACAGTCATATTTCCTTTTTCTTTTTTAAGCTAGTACACTTAATTAGAAATTGAAATGAACATTTTATTAAAATGTTCCCCAGGAGAATCAAAAAATACAAGATAAGACCTATCTTGTGAGGCAAGGGCAAGCTGAGGACCAGTCTGAAACCAAGGATACAGCTGGAACAAGAGAAGAATCACTTCAGGTATCAGTACCATCTCCTAGTCTAAACAGAACTTTTTATGCAAGTCCCTCATGGTCTTTGATTCACTCTCTGTGACAAACCTGAAAACGGTAAAGCTTAAATCTCACCTGATGCTTGCACCGCATGTGAAAGTCTCCCTAGGTTCCCTTCATGAATAGCCTGGAAAGTTTCTTTGGCTGAGTCCTGACTTGTTTTGGTAATTCTTTTTCATCTGTAAATAATAGGATATACTTTTACTTAATTTCTTTTTGTGGTATGTTTCTTTCCTTGCTTTCTGAGTGAAGAAGCAGCCACTCACAGTGCAAATCTTCGTGAGAAATCTGTGCAAAAGATAGGGCAATTCATGAGAGCCCAGAGTAGCACTGAGTGGGAAGTGAGAATCCAGTTTTATGTGGACTTCTTGCTTGAACAAAAATTTGGGAGAAGTGGGAGGAAGAGGCAGAGCCAAAGCTTTACATCTGCAGGACTCGTTCACTTTTTTCTCATCAAATACTACCAAAGCAGCTACTGGAATGGATTTTCAGAATTGTTCCACTTTTACTTTGCACTATTGGCCTTGTGAACACCAGATGAGGTTTGCAGACCATGTGGAGTTCTGCAGCAACAAGTCCACTTTTCCTCAAGTGAAATGAATGAAACCCTCAATTTATGAAAATTAATCTCAGTGTACAAATTCCCAGTCTGTTCTGAAGGGAAGACAGCCCTGATGTAGCTACTAGGATTCTTCAGTCAGGATTTGCCTCATGTGGACTTCCTGCACTGTTCAGTAGCAAAGGGCAGACTTCCACATAAACTGGTGACGGACATTGCTACCCTATTGCAGCTGGAACTTGGGCCAAACCTGCCAGTATTAGTAGGATTCTCTTCATTGATTTTCATGGATCCTGGATCTAGCTTTTACTAAAATGAATTCACACATCACTTGATGGAATAAAGTAGATTATAGGCAACCAGAGCCACAATAGGACAGAAATTATCTTCCCAGTGATTTAATGGGAAATGCGTGGTAACGAAAAAGAAACACTAGGTTTTGCAGCTGCTTGATGTCACCTTAGTTCACGGGCAGTCCATCTACTGGAGAAACTGCTTAGATATTGTAAAAAAGTAAAATCTGTGAATTGGTGTGGTTTCACCTGAGGTTGAGGATGTGCCCTAGTTGCAGCAGATCACTGAAGGAGCTCCATAAAATAATTTGCTGTGCTTTTATCTGACATGTTCTAACATAGGACATAGGAATATGAAGAGTGGTAAGTTGTGGGGTTTTTTTTTCCTCCATCCAGGACATGGAAGAAAACTTTAAACAAGACAGACGCCAGGATAGGCAAGACCAAAAGATCTTAGAAAAGAAGTATAACACAAAGGTATTCATCTTTATTGTTGTATTTTTTTCCATTTTCTTCTTATATCTATACATTTCAAATGATCGTGTTATCACAGTAGCTCTGGAAATCAAGTTATTTGAGAGTCAATTAAGAGTGCTGGTCTACTGTTAAAAGTTTCTATGAGAAGTTAGAATCACTAATAGCAGAGCTTTTCTTATCATTTGAGGGAGACTCCTTTTAGATACGCTCAGATAGTCATCAATCCCTACCTACTCAACTTTATATTAAACTGCGTTAGTGTATGGAAACTAATGTTTACTCTAAGTTTAGGTGAAGCCAAGTCAGGCTGCTAATTTCTTAACATTTTGTTGTAAAACATTGTTCTCTATAGAGCTTTTTAAATTGTAGAAAGGGATGGGAATTGAATGGAAATGCACATAAGATATCAGGAAAGTTTCTGACCATAAGTTCATTGTGAAGTGGCCTAAAGGTCTTTTGTGAAATACTGCATGGAAGCAGCACAGTATTCAAATTTTAATACTGGTTGAGAACAAGCTGTAAAAACCAACTCTGTGTATTGCAAGGATTGAATTAAATGATTATCAAAGACACCTTTCCTTAAAATCAATAATATTCCAGCCTTGTGTAGTGGATGCAATAATGTAAAAATATCCATAAACTATATTCAGAGCAGTCTATTTTTGTCCAATTTGTTCAACTTTGATCTTGTTAAATTGAAGAAAAATGTTGTTAAATAAAAGTTATTTTGAATAGAAGAATAATTTTCAAGTTTGTAGTTCCATATAAACTGTGTACATTTAATTAAATGTTTTTATTTAGTAAAATAAATAATGAAGTGTGTGAATTTTCCTTAGGGAGGAGTAAAGTTTGAAATTAATTTAGATGTATGTGTTCCTGAGGAAGACAGCATTCGAGAAGCAGAGGTATGTTGTAGTTATATTCAAAGCGTTTAGTAATATAGTAATCTGAAACCATGACAGTAGCTCATGATATAAGGTTTAATTGTTTCCATTACCATCATCCTCTACCTTTGTTATAATGAAGCTTCCTATTGAGGATTTGTTAACATATTGCATATATCTGACCTTCTTCAAGAGGATAATTGCTTAGAAAAAAATTGGATAAGAACCTGGGTCAGTCTGGGTAAAAGATGAAAGGAGTGCAGATATTTAAATTTTGTAAACTGGGCTGAGGGGAAGAACTCATCTCAAAACTCAGTTAGTTTGCAAATGCCAAATTTGATTTGTAAATTGTTTTAGTACATTTCTGTTTCTTTTCACTAGTATTGTATCACAAAGCAAGAATAATATTGTGATGAACCAACTGTTATTTAGAAAAAGTGGAAGCGAGACTACAGACAACGTTATGTGATTTCATTTATTAAAATGACATTTCTAGCTGATCGACATGTAATAGCTACCTATTAAGATTTTTATGAGTATATTAGAATTTTTAAAATATTTGTAACAGCAACATCAAAAAGATAATTTCTTTCTAGTATATATATTCTTAATTATAAAGCACTATTTTGTCTTTCTTCACATTTCTGCAGAGCCCCATGCAGCCCTCTGATACGCAAATCACACTGTGACTTTTGAGTTCTGCTGCTTCACTGTTTGTTACACAGTTTGCCTGTGCATACATGAGGATGGCTGGCAAACACAGTAAAATGAGAAGTGATTATTGTCGCATATTTGTTTTCTCTTTCCAGAGTAACCTGTTGTTTTTTCAGGTACTAGATAAACTCAATGAGACTTTAACTTTTGTGGATGGTGAGAATCTTGAGGAGAAATTGGTGGAAGTTTATGAAGATCATATGGACAAAGCTTTGGAAGAACTATCTGGATACCACACAGGTATTTCTTGGCGAAATGCAACGCTGAGTATTAATCCTGAAAATTCCTTAGGAGTTAGGTAAATTCAGTAACTCCAGGCTATAGCAAGTTTATCTCATGAGCTCTCTCTTTATAATATCACACAATATTATAATCACACTGAAATCTACTTTAAAAAAATGAAATTACTTTGCCTCTTTTTTTTCTTCCCCTTAGAGTCCAAAGAAAACAGAAAACATTGGCAAACTGGAGCCCCTCAGACACTACTGAATTTTTTAGCTGATGCTGATGTCACTTCTGTATGTCCTACTATGGCTGAAAATGAACTTGGTAAGAAAGTTTTGGTTTTCGGTGAGTGAAAGTAGAGAGTTGCTAAAATTCAGCCAGACTACTTACAGACCTTTGCCAAAACAATTCCATAGCAGAATGTTCATATGATCTGGCAGGCTTTTAATTGCAGGACTTCATAATAACTGAGGTTATTGTGTGTGTTAAACCATAGAATACAGTCATCATTTTCCTCTCTGTCTAATACTGCAATCATGTTGTGTTGCTCATACGAATTAACAGGGCTGCATTTTATGACTCACTCTGTGGCCTGGGTAACAAGGGCTCACAATGCCAGTCTATGCAACTAATCAACACCACTTTCTTGGGCCTTGAGTTGATGAAACACAAGAACCGAGTCTGTCAGCTGCCAAACGCCATCCCAGAGAGTGGAGGAGTTCTGGTTTCCCACTCCGCACACTAGTGGTGCTACACAGTCACAAGTGCATCCTCACACAGTTGTGGCTGTGGTGATGCTCCTTTTCAGAAGAAGCTAATTGCTATGTTTCTTACAGTACCAGCACATATATTCCTAGGCAGCCAGTTATCTCCAATGACTGATTGTTGCAAACGAGGGGCTCTTCCAGCATTCCAGCATGCTCCCAACACTCTAGGTACACAGAAACAACCTGAAGAGTTTGCACGGACAGTGAAGACAGAGCAGAATATTGTTAATATGCCACTTCTTGTTCATTCTACCTTACCTGAAAAAGCATAGGGCACAAGAGAAACAGGAACTTCTTCACAGCTTTTTCAGCCCCAAGAAGCCAACAAGTTTGAGACCAAGGACTACTCAGTGAAGCTGCACCTGTGTATTCCAGGCCTAATAAGCAGTTACTTGAGCTTTTACTTTATTAAAACTGGTGTTAAAAATTTTTAGTGACAAATAGCCCAAACTATTTTTTTATCTATGCTATCAATCAGACCAAATACTTACTAAAAATTCAGTATTCCACAAGGGAAAAAAACCCAAACAGGATTCCAGCATTACACAAAACGAAGAAGTGAGTGTCAAGACTAGAAAGTCTGAATCTGACAAAAGACAGTGCCAAGCCACAGTCATGCTTTTGTGACCTGAGAACCTTCCTGTTCCTCAGCTGACCATGCTATTCTGCCTGAAGACATCCCAGAAAACAGGAAGCAGTGGAAACAAACACCACCAGGGACACTACTGAACATCTTATCAAAAGCAGAGCTGTCTAATGACTCCTTCATCCACCTTGAAGAGGAAATAGGTAGGATGTTTGTTACTGTAAATTCTACAAGTTTTTCTGTAGTGTGTTATCTCTTTTACCATTGGCAGAGGATCTGTGATGGGAACCGACATTTTGAAACAGTTGGCAAAGTAGAATAACATGGGCAGCCTGTCCCAGCAGCCACTGCTCTCTGTCCTGTAGCAGTGAAAGGCCTCTTTCAGGACGTTGCTGTTTTCAATAGCAGGGAAAAGGGCAAGCCCTGCTTACCAACTATTACTTCATATATAATTCTTTGATTTCTTGGGTAGACAGAGGTAAGCTACTACTGCCAGCAGGTTGGCAGATACCACAAACCTGGATCTAGCCCCTGCAATTCTTGAAGAACCCTGTAAAAAACATTTATAAAAATACATGTATTTCTGTAGAACAGCTGTAAATTGTAGTACACGGTGGCTTAAACTACAGTGGTGACTTACTTTACAACATGGTCCATGCTGATACAGCTGACACTGAAATTGATTCGAACTCACTTACACTGCAGCACACTTTCCTCAAGTAACAGACTGTTTTAAAAATGGTAACTTTGCATCAAAGTTGTGAGCAAAAAAGCCAGAGTATTTTCCATTGAAAGATGCAATAAATGTAACCGGACATTGTGGTTTTATGCACAACTGACAATCTACTGAACGTATAATTGTATGACAGGACTTTTAAGCTAGCTAAATTGTACATGCTGAGTTTCAACATTTTTAATGGATCGTGAGAAGTATCTTTCATTTGCAACTGTGCAGTGAGCACTCTCCTGCTAATTACGCCTCACATACAAGTTTTCTCATAGTATAACAAGCTCTTAAAACTGCCCCATCCCAAAGGCTAAACCAGCTAAATGTACCAGCTAAATTCCTCTCTTAAGACTAGCTTTATAGCTTACACATTCAAAAAAAAAAAAAAAGAAAATGAAATTCAAACCACTTTTCACTAATGTCAGCAGTTCATAGAGCTAAAGCGAGAATAAGGTCACACAGGTTTTTTAACTGCTGCTGGTTTTATCAGTTACATTTATTAAAATAGGGCACTCTCTCAATACCCAGTTCTGCCCTGCTACTCAAGCTGACATTGTGGAGCACAGCGTTACCCAAACTGACAGATTTCTTTTGGATCACATGCAAAAGTTAACTCTTAGCATTGTTCTCCTACCTTCAGGTTAGGGTTGCCCTTTGGTCTTGAAAGCTAGCATTTTTAGGGAACCATAGCTACACCCAAGCAGCAATTTTCAGTCTTTCCCAAACAGTACTCCCCTAAGTTTTCCACTGAAAATGCAGATCCCTGTGTTGGGAACATAAACCTACTAACAACAGATCACCTTTCTTACTTAACTTTTATAGGCCTTTAGTTATGGTCTACAAACACAGAAGGTTCCACTGAGCGGAAGTTACAAACCACTGACTAAAACACGCGTGATCAAGAATAACAGAAGCATGGTGTTTACATTGTTGTAATTTGAACAACGACAACAAAATTCAAGCATTTACTTATTTGCTATTTCTTTACATACACTTTTATAGTTAGCTAACATACAAATAAAGGAATGTTTCTCTTCCTTTCTAGAAGAGAGATTAACTATGTTGCTTCCAAAAGAAAACAAGGAAGATGATTCAGAAACATACTCTGCTGTTGCTGTTGATGAAGGCAGACTTGAGCCAAGATCAGATGATGAAGACACGTAAGTCAAGCACATCAGAAGAAAAATCCATACAATTGAACAGTTTTCATGAAATGACAGGTTGCATTGCCTGAAGCTTTTCTTCTGTTCTTTTAAATTCATAAATGAAGAAAACTTACTTGTTTTACAGAATCTGCAAATTTAACTTTTAATTCTGCAATTTAGCATGTCACATGCCAACGCTGCCATTAAAAACGTTATGCAGAAGTATTAACATGGCTTTGCAACTCCTGTTCTCTTACCTTATAAATACAGGTAAACAATCTCACGGAGAAAGAAGAAACAGCTCACATTATGTGTGTTGCTTGTATATTCTTTATAAGTCATTTTAAAAAAATCTCAAAGGTCTTGAAAGGAGAAAGGCTTGTAACAAAGATACATTTAATTAATATAATTATCGTGTTTTACTTTACAGAAATTTTGAAGATTCTGAAGATGAACTGAGACATGAGCTGGAGGAATCTCTGGAAAAATTGGCAACTTCTCCAGCAGAAAGAAGCATGGAGTCTCCCATCCTTTCAATAAATAAAGGTCAAACAGATGAAGAAAAGATGAGTTTACCTCACAAACTACTTGGAAAATCTGATGATGATTTAGAAAATAACCATGGGTCATTTAGTGTTGACACACATAATGAAAAAGGCAAGCAGGAAGCAAGAGCTACCTAGAACACCAGCACAGTTACTGTTTCAAAACTTTAACTTGCTTGAAATTTTAGCCACATCAGTAACAAAATTTAAGGATAGCTGACATTAAATCCCAAGTAAATCAACTGCTTTTCAACAGTGCTAAACACTCAGTTAAATTAATAGAAGGTTGTTGCTATTTTGTTTAACAGGAAAAAAATCAGGCTACTCTTCAGATGTCTAAATGTTGAAAAATCCTGATCCAAACTGAAAGGCACTTTCATCTTTATTATTCTAAACTACCTGGGACATCTCTGATACTACTTGCTTGAGCAGATTTCTGATTGCATACTCTCTTTAACCATTTCTGTATCATGTAAGAAAGTCTCCTAGTCAGTGTATTGTGTTTCCCTAGCTCAATCAACTCCTTAAGAAGCTTTTCCAGCGTTTCGTAATCTCTATGTACAGCTTTATAATCCATAGTTTCATTTACACAGTACTGACCCCAGATAGCATCACCAACTGCTCAGCAGTTTTATATGGTAGCAGTAAAAGGGTTTATCAGCACCATGAGGATTGTGCATTCCCCAACTCCTAATAAAACATGGAACAGTAGGTTCTTCTAACCGTATTTTTTCATATACAAAATGTCATATAATCCAGGCGAAGCTTAAACAGAGGGAAAACCACATTCTAAAGTCTGATTTCAGTAGCTTTTTGCACTTCTCTTAGTTTGATGAAATACAAAATACTACTCTGATGGCTCAAAAAAGGACTGTATGTTTTTCCATTTTTGATACAAAAGCAGATGTCCAATTTTTGAACCTTTTATTCACTGTGTTTTCAGTTTTATAATAAGCAGTAGTTTAGGGCTTTAACGTTCATGTGTGTATAGCATTTAATTATGCCCTCTAATCTAGATCCTTCTATTCCCTAGGAATAGAAAACCTTTCAATAGAATAGGATTGGAAAAATAGCATTAAGTTGTCATACTGTGAAAGGGCATGAGGAAATAGCTAATAGAAGGATCATAGACAAGTGCAATTATTACACTTACAAAAAAGCAAGCTAGCAAAACCACCATACAATTAACCTAAAGGAATCACTGTAGGTAATGAAATCTTCAGAACCACAATTAAAATCCCACATAATAGAATTTTGCCACGCAATGGGGGCTAGCAAATTGAAAATGCGCTACAGATTATGGAAAAAAATCTTCTGGGTACAAAAGCTATCAAAAATCATTGACTTTAAAAAGTGTGACTGTGGGTGAAGAGTCATGAAATGGATGGAAACTGAAAGTATTCAATAAATAAAAGAACTTCCAGATGTAGTTCTGTTACCAAGGAAATATGATGGTTCTGTGAATCCAGAGGGTTTTGCAGTGCACCATATTGTCATGTAGTCAACACAGAAAATCTTCAAGAGCATTTATTTCCCAGTAAAAAAATCTTTATTACATAAAGCAGATACTCTGACGGAAAGAAAAAAATCCCTTTATTGAATGGGACCAAGGGCTCATAGATTACATATATTTACAGGTGACACATCATAGTCAAATATAAAAAGTTAATTTTACTAATATACACTTTTATTAATATACATTTATTTAAATAATGGCTCCACAGATAACAGGAATGTCTCTTCAAAATGCTGGTCAGAAAACCTGTGCGCAGACCGACGAGCATTTTCTCTGATCTCTAACCTTTTTTCAGGGGACAAAGAGAGGATATAAGCCATCATCTCAGCATAATTGTCCTCGTTTTCTGCTAAGAAGCCTGTAGTATGTCCTTCATAGGGTACCACAATATCTAATTTGGGGCCTCCAGAATTGTGAGCCAGGATAACTGTGCCAGCTGCCATACATTCAACTACTCCTGTAAAAGATACAAAACATGCCGATATGAATGTGCACATCATGTACTTTGGCTTTCTATAAGGCACTGGAAAGTTAAAACCACAGTAAAATTCACCCAGAATTATAAGTTATTATAGACTGCCATTCTAGATCAGTTTGAAAAATACAGAGTAAATGGTCTCATAAAAAACAAATTCAAGTTTTTCAGTCCTAAGGACTGAAATGATAGTTTCTCTTAAACACATAAAATTGAAATTAGAAGTCTGACATAATTGGTTAAGTTGTGGTTCTTGTAACATACTTGGTCTACCTGAGATAGATTATATCACCAGTATATACGGTGAAAAAAAAGCTAGATATTGAAACAAAAATAAACATGGAAAGTAACTCTGTGACAGAACACTGCATAGTTCTGTTCTGCTTTGTAACAGAACACTGCAACACTGGTTTTATGGTATGGTGGCAGCTGCAAAAAAATAATTAAAAATTAGAGCTGAATGTAACTATTCATTTTCTCATTAACACTGAAGACTTTTTAACATTTAGAAAGATACTCTGAGAGAAAAGCTGACTATGCACATTTTAATCTGATGATATTCAGAGGTTCAGTATTTTGCAGATTAACAAATCTTTAAAGCTTTTGACAATTCAGCAAGACAAACTAGTAAAAATTATTATCGCTGTATCTGTATTTTTGATGGAAGAAATTTTAATGAAATGGGGAATCTGACAGTAAGTTTTCCTCAATCAAAAGCTGTGGGATAGGAATAGCATAGAATATATACATCAACTGCAGTTCTCCTCCATAGTTCCAGAACAGACCTCAGAAATCACTTTAATTGCTGATTCTTCTCAGTTTTGATTTTATTTTTAAAAAGTTCCCCTAGCTCGAAAATTGCCAACTATAAATAATGCTCCAAAGTTTTGAAACATGTTTTTACAGGTAAAAAGCCAATGGAGATGAAGGTGAAATCATGCCGAAATTCAAAATCACAGTGTGATTGTAACACTTTTTAAAAATATTTTTTTATTTACTTAATTAAACTGTTTTATGGAGGAAAAAATAGCAGAAACTATTATTTCCATTTTGTGGCAGTTGCTTCTGGGAGACACTTCACAGTAAATTTTTTTATACCATATTCCTACAGACTATAAACTACTACTCCTGATACTTTACTTGTATTCTAATAAAGTCTGATGACATTAACTGCAGTTTAGTCACATTATAGCCAAGTACGGCATCCATCTGCTTGGCTGCTAACTTACTCTTTTAGATTTATGGCAGATGGGCGATCTTAGATTCCCTTTTGAAGTCAGGACCCAAGTCATGCCAATAAACTGAGCCCAATACCTTAATTCTGTATGATAGCACATTGCAAACCAGGTCCCAGCTCCTCTTTGGCATTCTGCTCCACGATATGGCGACTGATTTAAGGACTTGTTTTAATTGCCTTAGCACAGGTGCCTAGTGCAATGAGGTGACCAAGGGTACCTGGTGGCATCCACGTAGGGCTTACAAATAAGACACAGGATCTGCGGAAGACTTACACCTCTGAAACAGCAGCTAGAGCCCCATGACATGTACCAGACAATTCAAATGGCAGTTGACGCAGGTTACATACGCTCAAAATCTCTACATATGGATGTCCACACGTGAACTGTATCTAAGCTCCCCCTGCAGTCCGTGGAGCGAACAGGGCACAACCTAAGGTGCTTAAACAGAAGTACCTGGTGCCTTTTGAGGCTCCGTTGGGTACGGAAGGCATCTGTGTAAGGCTGGCAAACCTAACACAGGACCTCAGGGTGACCCATGACCTTACAGAGCAACAGCTGGAGCTCAGGCAGAACATCCTGGGCAGCACAGATGGGACCTGCTGTCTGTTTAAGTGACTAGAGGATGCCCATAATTAATAGTCTATGATGTCTATAGCACTTCACCTTGCACTACAGTAACACCTAGTGGTTAGTCATCTGAATTGGTCCTATAGGCTCTACCTCAGCTAGATCGCCTCTGACTAGAACGGGAGTTGGACACCTGCTTGGCATGCAAACCTCTATGCTTAGACCCCTATACTGAGGAGCCTTAATCATGAACTGAAGCCCTCCCCAACTGTGTCCCCAGCTGGGACAAATGGCTGAACGCTGAGCAAAGATACTGACCGATCCCAAAGTGCTCATTCCACATCGTATGCAGGCCGATGGTGGCCTCGGCCAGGTATCTCTTCAGCTCCTCAAAGGGAATGTTTATTCTGAACGTCACATTGTTACTAACTCCCAGCTCTTCACAAAGATGTTTAAGGTTATTTACACGCTCTTCATCTTGCTGGTTACGACAGCCTCCAATTAAGATAAGCTTCAATGATGGCTGCTGCCCCAGTCTCTTCTCTTTCAGTAATTTAGCAAAGGCTCTGATTTGCAAAGGATGATCTTTTTCAGGCCTGAACTGGCTGACGGAAACAATGGAATATTCAGCAGTGCTCTTTTCCTCTTCCAGTGGAATATCCAGGAAGGTCTGCACATCACATGGTGGATACACAACACTAGTGCAAGTCCCAGCTCTCCAGAGGGAAAGGATGTGATTTAGCGTCCAAGAAGAATTAACCATAATCACATCACTACAGGAACCAACCAATCCGTACATGAAAGCAAAGAAGTAGTAGTAGACAAGTTTAAATTTGCTGAAAAGAGGATTGCTTGTAATGAAGGCTGCATTGTTAAACCTGGTATCCTGATTCCTAACGACAGAAAGCATATCGGTGCTGATAGTGGGATAATGGACATAGCATCCAACGTGACAACCTCCTAAATATTTAAAGAGGGGAAGCGTGAAGGCATAACCCATTGAGTCAATATAAATATCAGGAACACACTTTACAAGAGCTTCCCAGCCAAGAAACACTGATCCTAAACTTTGTCCCAGCAAAGTGAAGTGAGGGTAAAGAGAAGCTTCCACAAGGTAGCGTTTTTCTAGAAATACAAACTTTACAGGATGAGTTAATTTAATATTGAATCTTCTGAAAGCGCCTTCTACTATTTCTTCTCCAGTGGCATCTCTATCACCAGTGTAAACAACACACGTGACATTTCTGTACCTGCAAGAGTAAAGAAAAAGAATTTCATACATTCTTTCTTCAAATTTTGTAACATGAAACTAAAATATTATCCATTGAAAATTACTCAAAAAGTATGTGAGAACAAATGTCTGGCCAGTTCTGAAATTATTTTAACTAAATTATACTTCTCCTTATACTTCCACAGTTTTTTCTGATTTGCAGAAAAACATATGGCTGAGGACTTGGGCAATACTTTTTTTGAGTAAAACATAAAAGGAGCTCAGTATTATTCTACAGACTTAAGAATGCCTTGCCCTACATTAGGAGATGTCTGTCTAGTGCACAGCATGAGAAAAATGCAGAAGACTGCAAGCCAGTGGATGTGCCAATGTTAAATCCACTTTAGATATTAACTTGTTTTGCCTCCTGCACCAAGAGGCAAGTATCAAGCTTACCAGTCACCTACTGACGAGGTATGCCTATACAAAGTTCCATACCAGTACTGGAAAACTGATGAGGGAGGAGGGGTTCTCCCAGGGAGAGAAAGAAGTGAGAGATGCCACAGCAGGACAGATCAAAATCCAGGTAAAGAGATGAAGTGGAATGGTGTAACCAGGTGAAACTCAGATGTAAAAAAAATGTAGGACCAGTAGGTTAATGATATCTATTTAAGTATGTAAAATGCCAAAATGTGCATAAGTAATACCATCAGTAGTTGAGAATTAGATATGGTATTTGATAAACATACATGCTTACTTTTTCTGGAGCGTTCTTACGGCACACCACAAGACTCTCTCCCCTCCGCCACCTGCATTGCAATATGGGTGAAAAAATGCAACCAGCAATGGCCGCTTCCCATCTTTTCCTGGTGAGGTCAACTGTTTTTTTTTCCTTTGTTGTATCCAGAGCCGTATTCCCCACAGTAGAACCACCAAGCAGACACACAAAATTCCACTTAGAAATAATGCAGGGATTAACAATGAGCACAGCAATCTGAAACAAGGTGGAAATTTTAAAATATAAAGTTGCCTTAAAGAATACTATGTACGAAATTGAGAGAGAAGTGCTCACAGGCAGAGCTACAAAGAGTTCAATTTCTTGAGTTCTAATCTCAGAAATCATCAATATTTGTGTATCATTTCAACAATTACAGAAAAAAATCACTATTCTACATTGTTTAGCCGAAGATATTTTTCCTACTGTTACCTCTCAATCACTTATTATTGTTTATTCATGCCATATGTCTAGATCTACCTCAATCTGCTATATACACTATAAAGGTTGCATGCCCTTAGCAAAACACAAATAGCAAAGTGATTTCTAAAGAGATTTGTCAAAGCTTTCTTCAGTCCAACCTCCTGTTTGGCCTGCCTTAGTGTGAACTGCTTTGGCGCAGAGCTACTTGGGCCAGCCTGCAGTGCATGACCCAGAACCTGCATTTTCCATTCCCCTGAGATTTGAAGAGCTGTGTCAATTGCCCAGAAAAGCTCTGAGCAGTTTCTCTGTTTAGACAGACCTGTTTCCTCAAGTCTCTGAAGCACTCTCTGAGGGGGGCATTCCCTTTGCTCACCGCTGCCTCCCTGCACAGCTCTCCTAACCCAGGAACGGGAGGTTTATTACAAGAGTCTCTTCTTGGGCTACAGAGTTTCACAGGCGCCAGAGCCTGGATTCTGATGCTGCGCTACACGTTATGATAAACATCATTTACTCGACATTAAAGGGGTTGCCCACGGCGAGCCACGCGTCACGACTGACACGTCAGGTAAGAAAACACTTCCATTTTCGGGATGAAGAAGCAGAAAAGCACATTAACCCATCCGAGGCCGGCGGCAGAGCGAAAAGGAGCCGGGCAGGGGCCCATCCCACCTCGCCCTGCCCGGCGGCCTCCTCTCCTCAGGGGGGGCCGGGGAGGGCGGGGCGGGTGCGTGACGCCCGGGGAGGCTCGGGAGGGAT